GAGATGATCATGTATAACTTAATACAAACAAGACCAGATATATAGCCACGTAGTAAAATTACTGGCTCCCCCCCCCCCCCCCCCCCCCCCCCCCCCCCCCCCCCCCACCCCACCCCAGTCGAGTTGATGGACAACATATCCCAAGGTGGACCCCCTCCGGTCCCCTATGGCCACAATCCCCACAAAACTTAGCTCTGACTGTGGATCTTAACAAAACCAGACAGATTTTGCCAGCCCAAAACCCTAAATATCTCACCCCAAGTAAAAAAAATCAAGATACCAATTTTGGATTTTTGAAAGGTACTACATTCATAACTACACTAAATAGAATATTAGTACTACCACCTAAAATAACTGCAATAAATGCAAGTGATAATCCAAGCATGTATCTGTACAGCTCCAGGTGCCTTAATGTTTTATTATATTTAACGTTAATGCATTGTTTGCCCTTTAGTCTGTGTTAAATTACAATAAATGTGAAAATAGGGTAGATTCAGGTGACATATATTTTGTCTGGTCTGGACTGGATCAGAAGCACCCCAGGGTGGTGACCAGTTGAATTCTAGTGAATCAAGCACAATTCCATATACAACTACAAGACCCGCAAAACACTGGCACATTCATCAACATTATGCGTTTAAAGTAATATGGCAGAAGCAAACTAAAATGTTTTTAGGTCAAATACGGTAGAGAGCCTCAGCATCCACCATCTAGCTTCACTAAGACTGCAAATTCAGGCAAATAATTTTAGGAAAAATAATTTATTCATTAACTTAAGACTTAATGTGTAACAAGACCAATAAAAATGAATAGACAAAACAAGGAAAGGTGAAAAATACCGACTGAAAGGTCTGCTTTGACGATAACGTCATTAAACTGCAGTAACACTGCTCTTCCACCTGGTGGCGGACTTTCATGCGTTTTCCCTCTCACGCCATTGAACTGTCATGTGCTACACACGTAAACATTGGGGAGCTACTGACTTCGATCCAACCCTTTACATTTTGATGTAATGCTCCGGTTAATTAAATTCATTAGTTACCGGTTTGAGAAGAAACTATTTTATGTACAAAAAAACTGCCGTCCGCCTCGTATTAACTTACCATTGTTCTCGATTACAACTACATTTCGGGCAGTTAAACTTATTGCTATAAAAACTACGGAATGCTCAGCAAAAACTAGACCGGGCTACCAACACCCAACAAATGCGCTTTTCCAATAAAATTGTGCCGGATGGAGTTTTGGAATAAAGACTTGGGGAAGGAGAGCTAATGGTTTTCAAAATAAAAATCAATGAATTAGAAATCCCGGTGGTGCTATAATGCGGACACGATGCAGTTAGAAGCGGATTTAAAGGGCTTCGGAAGCGCGTGGGAGCGGAGAGACACGCGCCGTCGCTTACTGCGAATGGCGTCCTACTACTAAAAAGAATCCAGCTCAAGATCCAAGTTACCTGCGCCTAACATGGCTTACACACGAAATCCTAGCACGATGAATTAGCGCCGTGTGAATTCGCTCAGTCGCGTCCTGCGGAGTAACACCAGCACACTATGTTAGGCGTGTAGTGATTAGTGCTGCACACCACCGGGTCACAATATCAGCGTCGCGGCCAAGAAACCCAAACGAGCTACAAAATCATATTAAAATATTTATTAAAACTGGGTGACATGACAGAACTAAGGGGTTGACTTTATGTAATTTGTACAAAGGCAAAATTAAGTTGATTAATTACTTAAGGAATATGTGTAGTCCCTACACAAGCCCGAAAACGGAATATTTCTCTAATATTCGTGAACAATCCTAGTTGTAATGGGAAAACCAATACAGCAGAACACGGTGCTCTCTCTGCATGTCATTCTGTATTGTATACTGTGGTATACACAACACCAGCATTTTCAACTTTTATTTTTCATTACAATTAATTTGGTACAACAAACTAATCATGAGAATGTCTGCCATTATCAAAAAAGGTATAAGAGATTTGGTCACTATTTACAAAGAACACGTAATGTCCGAACTATCCAAGAAGGAGGAAAAAATGATCTGCATTCTGATGATGGCAGACATTTGATACAGAACATACAGAAAGTAATCACATTGAGACATTATGTGCATGTTCAAACTGACAGAATGATGCATTCTTCTCCATGCCCTAACACCACACACGCACGCGTGCACGCACACACACAAACATACTGATCACATAAGCACATTGTACAATAAGGGGGCAAAAGGTAGGTCTGTATATAAGCAATTCCTCAAAACCAGTAGTCAACATTAAAAAAAAAAAAAAAAGTCACACATGCTCTCTAAAAGGTTTTTGGTATCTTCATTTCTTTAAACAATTCAGCAACCTGTGTACACAACTAGGCAGACAGTAAGGGCAGCTTGCAATCATTTCATTACTGTCTCTTTAGATAGTTACTAAATTTTTTCTGCAGTTTAAACAAAAGTTGAACAGCAAAAGAAGGAGGGGGGGGGGGAAGTGTGTCCATTCTCTCCCACACCAAACCTAGTCAACACCTCCTATTCCCGATACAATGTGACATCAGGACAAACATGAGGGAAATACAGGTTTAAAACAGTCAGATCAGAATAAGCCAAAAAGGGGCAAGATTAATCCTCATCTTCCCCTTCCTCATCCGCTTCTCTTTTCCTTTTCTGACCCCTCTCCTCCTCTGGAAAAAAAAATAATTCCAGTGATCACTTCTCTGGGCAAAATGTTATTTAACCTTCTTTCTCAAAAACATTCCCATTGTGTTAAATCCATTTCAGACAAAAGATTCACCCAAAATGTCACTACAGCATCTTACCATAATCACCTTCTTCCTCACCATCATTTAACTCCTCTTCCTCCTGAGGAAGCACATGGGGAAAGTAACAGTTACAGAAATGGCTGTCCATGAAGTCATGACTGACGAGTGTTTCTAGTGCTGCCAAAACTGGAGGGTGCCAAAATTCATAACCATAAGTCTGGTTAGGAAAATTGTAAAATTGCTACTATTCAAGCGGAAGTATCACCCTGGCACCCGACCACAAATTTCGACCAACACACTGCCAAGTAGCCATCATTCAATTATCTTTAACCCAGGAAAAAAATTCCGGCTCAATTCTTTTGGAATCAGACATGTCTTCAGTCATTTTAAATGCATGGCTCAAACACACCACTAACAATGACCCTAAATAACTGCTTCACGCATATCTATACAAGCTATCATTCTCACTTCTCCACTAACGTCATCCTCTTCCTCCACTTCTTCATCATCATCTTCTTCTTCACACTCCTCTTCATCCTCCTCTCCAGGAGCAACGTCTTCATCATACTCATCATCCTCCACCTCTGCAGAGGAACAGAATATCTTAAGCATACTTCCGTCAATTGCAAGAGTTGTCCCAACCCATCTTGATGACAATAGCAATGCCACAGCACACCCATCTTTAACATACCATCCTCCTCCTCCTCATCATCATCGTCGTCATCCAGACCCTCAGCGTATGCCTCTGTGTCAGAGTCTGGTGCCTCTTTATCTTCTTTATCATAACCGTCCAGGTACGTCAGCTGAGGGAGAAGCTTGAACACATTTTCTCTGTAGTCATTCAGGTTTGTCACCTCACAGTTGAACAAGTCTAAACTTTTTAGACCTTCCAGCTTTTTCTGTCAGGAGAATAATGGAGGGGACACACATAAAGTGCTGTTTGACGCTTTCCATATCACACTTTTAAACCATTCCAGTATTAAAGACATTATTCCTCACCAGAGGTTCTATTGTGCTGAGGTCTTTGATTTTGTTGCCGCTGAGGTTGAGATGTGTGAGATTTGGACATTTCTCTGCCAACACTTCAAGCCCACCTGAGATTCTGTTATCACTGAGTTCAAGCTGCAAAGTAAAGGCCGAACCGAAAATTGCTGAGGCACATCTTAATGTTTTGACACTGAGAAACACCGAATGAGAAGATACCAACCTTCTTAAGCTTGTTTAACCTAGGCAGATTGGCAACTGACGTTAGGCCTACATTGATTGTACTTAAGAATTCCAGTTCTTCAAATTCATCCGTAAGGCCCTCGATTTTACCCTCATTTGAACGACAGTTGTCTAGAACAAGTTCTTTAACCTGAAAGAAAAGGCACAAAACAACAATTACAACACTGTCCCAGCAATGATACCACCATATCGCTGTTCACGATCTGGCAGAACCTTCCCCGTCACAGCAAAAGTCAAACCGTTAGGAACATTTCAAAACTAACAATATCCCGAAGTGTAAAAATGCACTGACACACTAGAAAGAGTCCATATGTGCAAGCATGGGCAGGTATGAGGATTCAAAATCAAACGTAATTTTACCATTTAACATGTCACTTCTGTTAACTACCCTAAAATAAGTCCCAGGTGTGTGTCATAAAGCCTTTGGGGATTATCCCAAGTCAAATGAAAGCAAAAGTTGTTGCATACAGCACTTTGTAGTGAATTTGCCCTTGCCCATACTACCCAGCCTCAACAAATCCAATTCTAAACAGTGGGCTCAATCCGTAGGTTTAATTTTGAAGTATCACTGGAATAAAGCACTGCTCGCATGCCCACTTGTTCCCATTTTAAAAGTAAGCTGCCCTCTGACGTGACACCGATATACAAATAATGGTCCCGAGTCAAAATAGAAAGTTCCATCTGTTCCAAACAAGGTTAAACACTGAACAGCACACACCTTATAAACAACTTACTCCTATTAGACAACATAAAACACACCAACGTGACGCATTAAGATCTGTACGGGGTCCCCAGCCAGGCCGGCTTCTGCATGTGTGGCTCATAGGAAGAAACACAGCGATCCCTTTGTACCCAGTGAGTGCCACGATGACTGATCAATATAAAGTTATGACTACGAAGTCAGCTATTATTAGATGGCTGGGTAACCCCCTCCCCAAACTATTCACGCACACTGCGTGTTAAAGTGACACCAAAGTGTAGAGGAAACCGGCCCGTCTTCTAAAAGTAACCTTTCGATGGTCGGCTGCTGCCCCCCCCCCACCACAAATAAGTCAACTCCAAGCCCCCCCTCCCGGGAAACTTCAGTCCAAAAGGGACGTGCTTTTTTGGCGACACTAAAAACAAGCTGAGCATTACAAGCGCATCCATTTAAGTGGCGGCCGATAGAAATCAGAGAGCTGGAGCCGCCAAAGCAACCGCCGCAAGTCACCGTTACCGCTGCAGCATCCCAATAGGTGCTGGCCGTCATGTTTGGCGTCTCAAATATAGCCCATCTCACGGTGTCTGGGCCGTGAGACTCATCATACAGCGCACAATAGCATACTAAAACGCCGCTGAAGTTTCATACTTGTGCGAATATTTTTTAGAAACACCTCCCCCCCCCCCCATTTTCAAAAATTGACAACGCCACATACAAAATGGCTGACCCCTACCAGTGGAGCGCTGCCTTTGAACACCGATCACAACCGCGCCCGGCACCGGGGGGGTCATTCCAGGACCTTATGGGCAATTTTCAGCGTCGTTTTAACGCTATAAACACGCATACGCGCGTTCGCGCACTTAGGCGCGCCACAGGAGGGGGCGGCGTGACCGGCGGGCTCCCCGCTAACGTTACACGCCGGCCAGGGCTACACTGATCCCCCGCCACAAAAAAAGAAAAACGACCGAAGCGCCTCGCCGGTCTGTGTCGCTGGGAAACGCCGTAAGGTGGCAGAAAGACCCCGGTATCTTCTGGCAGACCGACCGCATGCCCTTGTTGCTCGGATAAAATGGCGGCTCGTCCTCGCTCGCCTCGTCTCCGCGTGAGAAACGGCGCAATTCGCGAGGCTACACGCCTAACGTGGCCGCGGACACTGAGCGCGGAAAAAAGGCGACAGGCGGGTCGTGGGGACCGGACCGGACTCTGCTGTGCCTCAAAGGACGAACCACCGCCAGACAATGAGCCAGTGCGGCGGCCAGCGCCGGTTAGACGCGATGCGGTCGGCGGCGCGGAAGCCGGATCGCGGGGCTCGCGCCGCCGGCCGATGGGCTGAACAAAAATAGGGACGAGCCGCCTCGCGCGTGGAAGAGCGACCATCCACGGGCGCATGTGACCGGGCATTTATCCGCGAGCCATTAGTCCTAATTACATTCCCATCGTTCCGAAAACGTCGAGCCGATAACAGCAGCCCATACCGACTACGGCGGAGCATCTTAAAGTATTACATTCAGGAATGCCGAGAGTAGCATGTAGTTGTTTTAACGCTGTAGACAGTTTTGCAGGTTAATGATTCATTACATACTGGAGTCGATATCGATTATCAACTTTGGCGTAATCTCTCGCTCTTATTACCCGTTGTAATACTTCCCAAGAATCAGAAAAATTTGTACCACTTTCAGATTTATTTAAAATATTACTATGCAACTACCGAATATTTTTGTCCCATCCCAAGTTACTTAACAAAAGACACTTCGGTCGCACACACTGACGAAACAATCAAGTGAAATGCAGTGTGCAAACTCTCACAGGCAGCTGAAATTTTGGAGAAAACTACCAGGACAGTCGATAAAAAGTCCAAATCATCTGTCAAGAGTGTATTGTTGATGAAGGAAACGGGGCGCGTTCTGGACTACGAAGTTGCAAATATGGCTTCTCACAGATAGTCTTGTTTATAGCTTCTGCAAGTACAGAACACTACGCTGCTATTGGTACAAACGCGGCATACATAGTGTGCTCGGTAGTTCGCAACCCTTTCAAACTTATGAAACCTTGCTCCAGGACTCGAATTACTACTGTTCTTGGATATTCAGCCTTTGACTAGAAGACTATAAAACTTTCAATGTACATTCAAGAGATCGGAATCAACTTAATTGCACACGCGTGCACCTCGCTTTTACCAAAATCAAGGGCTGTGGTTAACCATAACGACACTTAAATACAACACAACATAATTTTAGGTTCTTACGTCTGACGGCGTTCGATTTCGCAGTTCTAGGTGAATTCTTTTCTTCATATCCATCTTGAGGGTGCAACACTATATTAATTTGGCGACCAAGTACGAACGGGTGGACTTGCAATGCTCTTTACACACAGATAGCTACCACCTCTCAGCACAGTGTGCCACTGCTCACTCTAACTTGATCCCTCTGGGGGGGCGGGAATGGCCAATGCGATTGTCGTCACTATCGCCCAATCAGAAATGTCGAATAATGTTTCAACTCCTTTCCACATGCACATCCCACGACATGGACCAATTATTTAATTAGGCGGGGCTGCCGTAGTCGTTTAGTTGATCTAAAGAGAACAAATATATAAAGTGTCATATTTGCGGTAAATCACCACTATGATAGTTACGCTATCCACTACTTGTTAGTATAATTAAGGTAATCTATAAAATCTAAGGGCTACAACGGCTAAATATTGAATATCACCACTAAAATCAACGAGCACAAATATTAATTTGTCATACCGTTACCGTAACTTACACGTTGTATGTGAGCTGGATACATTACCTATAGTTTGCAAATTAGAAATAATGACATCATAACATTTGCACATCTGAAAGACAATAGTTTTGAAACGCGATTTCATTACCTCTAATAAAAACAATCACTTCACAAATGTTTGTCGTGATCATTTAATCCAGAAGTATTGAGACTACCTAGTATGTTTAACTACACTTTATTTTTGGCCACACGGTAAAAGTAACGAAGCGAATGTATTTACTGGGCAGCGACATACTTAGTTTTAGGCGAACTATGCGCAAATACAAGTTGTTGAACCAGGTGGATCCAGACTAGGCTCAACTCGGTACAATGTAATCGATAAATCACTATTTCCAGGATCGAAATTATAAAACTACTATCAGACAATAACAAAACGAATTATTAACTAATCAAAAATAATTTAATATGCACCACCTAAAGATATTCCTGTCCAACATCTACTGCCCTACTTTTTGAAATTGCAGGTAAAACAGCGAAGCATACTGCCTTCCATAAAGCATGCGTATCATGTTTATTGCCAAAGTTAGCAGCACTTTCTCGCAATATAACTGGCAGTTGCCAAAATATGTACAAGATACTGACAAACGAGATTTGGGGGGGGTGGTGACTGAAGATGACAAAGGATATTTCATTTTAAAATCGACCCAGCACTTGCTTAAAAAATGACACTGCCCGTTAGCTGAGCTATCGGGGGGGGACAATACAGCGCTCATCGGCAATGACCCAATGCACTACGCCGACACGTCAAAGGGCCGCGCGTTAGAACATCACACCGGCTGCCTTGTTGTCTTTAATCTGAGCCCAATGCAAGTAAATACTGCTGCAGTACTGCTACTGCCTGCACAATTTCGTCACCGAGACGCCTAAAAATAACTCGCATGATTCCGAAGGGTTTTTTGATATTTGTCTTTATATCGTGGTCTGGCTTTCGGGAAAAAAAGACAACCAGGACAAATTTTAATACAAGTCTGATCAAACTGCGCCATGTGCGGTACGCAGGGTGAGAGGCGCATTTCGCAGCTAATGTCAGCGAAACAACTGGCCGTGTACATCAACACCCGAGGATTTGGGCGGAAAAGCGCGACATACTCGAAATACCACAAGAAACAGTTTCGAGAAAAGGTGCTGCTAATCGACTGGAATTTTAGTTAAATATCGATTATTTATGGGTCATACGTGATCTGGCAAGTGAGCCACCAATGTTACAGAGAAGCGTCGCTGAACTTGTAACACAGACACTTAAAAAAATATTTGGTGACTGACATACAAAAAAGCGTCCCGATAAACTTGAAATGTAGCAATGTTTTGCTAGGCTCGAATTCCAAAAAAAACACCCCTTTATAACACACACATGGGTGAAATCACCAATAAAAAATGAATAGAACTTATGGGGATTTCATTCTGGTACCTTTCCTCAACATAAAAACGAGTCGTACCAAGCCGCGGCCTCACACGCTAAGCTAAGCACACCGCCGTCTAAGTTAGTTTCCTTACACGTCACCCAGTTTTCGCCACATACCGCATTCATACGGGCGTCGACATCACTACAACCCTTAATCAACCCCGCGGAAACCCAGTAAACACGTTTGATTGACAGAGCACTCCGCCAATCGTAACCCCGTCTGCGCCGCCGCTAAGGCCTCACACAATTCAAATCAACCAATAAAAACACTAGAACAACAGCTTTCGCCTCCATTCGCAGCTGAGCCCGCATTCCAACAGCTGAATAAAAAGAGCAACGCGAAAAAAACACATGGTCACCTGACTTCTTATCCGCCATCTTGTCCGCAGTATATTTCAGTTTTAGAACAATAAAACAACATTTAATTTAAATGAACTATATAAAAGAAATGAATTAACATTACCTATCATTCGGGTCATTTCAGTGTGGAGCTCCGCTGCCGCTTTTAAAGGCACGGAAAGTGAGAAGACCAACTGCGTGGCACTAAACTGTTTTCACAAATGCACCGACTGGAAAGAACGCATTGCAATTGTGCCCCTCTCGGTTTTATAATTGTTACATAAATTCTGTATTAACCTCGTGACATTTTAGCAGCTGCTGCAAAATTGAGTCTTCGTCTGTCGCTGAGGACAGTATCCAGTCCCCGTCTGCAAGTTAATTTGGAGCCATTTTGGTCCCCTTGCGCAGCGAGCACCATTTTCCCGTTAGGTGTGTCTCGCTGGCTGCCCAGCACCGTTGTTGCTGCTGTGAACTGCTGGCTGCGTGCACTGAGTGCGCAACTCTAAATAATGTACACCGAGAAGCCGAAATGTGGCGCGCCACCATACGTCTCTCTCCTTTCCCTTGTAATCCCTCTCTCTCCTCCGCCCTCTCTCTCCATTTAAAAACGGATTGAAAAAGAAACGCATTTGCTCGAGTCCATCGCCGAGTCCGATAAAACGAGAGAAAGTGGACAGCATGCACAAATTTTGTATTAGGTACCTGGAAGGCTATTTTCTGTCGGATAATTATTTATATTTAATATGTACGTTTTACCGTTGTAGTATAATGCGATATAGCATAAAAATATATTAAAATACAAACAAAATATCTGAGAAATCAGTTTTCCATATTTGAATATTACGTCACGTTACAGCAACTTTAAAATGCTGTTGTAATGATGCATATGATGTTCTATAACCGCTAGTTACAGAAAATTGTGCTTTTTCCTCCTTCCACTACTGTTCCACACAGTATCACATGTTAGCATTTGTTTTCTTGAACAAGTCGAAATTTCCCTTTCCATTTAAAGATACTAGTAATAATCATAACAGCAATGATAATGTTTTTAAAATACTTATTTAGTTATAAATCGTTAAGTGCGCAATGTAAAAAGTAAGCATGGTGGAGTACCACACAATACACTGATTTTTTTTACAGCGTAACATCGCCATCTAGTGGCCGAGTTCTTCATTCATAAATTTATTTTAGGTTACTGTAAAATCAACAGCGCATATGCGCAGGAACTACTCTTCGGAAAAAAGCGTACTTAATAATTACGTAATTTCGGTTTTTAATTTTCATATATCTCCCAAGCAAACCATCTGGTTCACTCCCGGAGCTGTTCAAAGCGCATCCCACTGGGGCAGATTCAGGACAAGTCGACGGGATTATAATATCTCCTAGCTGGTTTGGAAATGCCTGGAGATTTCCAGAAAGAGCGAGTCTATGGCCTTGGGAATAGAATTCCGGTGCGAACTATTCATTGTGCTACACAGAAACCCTCAATAGGAAAGGCAGTCTGAAGATGGATACAACTATATATTAATTTCATATATCAAATTAAGCCCATAATGAGGTATTGTAGGGTGCTCGCTGTAAAGAATGGCAAAAAGACTATCAATAAATGTTCACAGTGGATGAATTTCACTTAAAGAAACCCTGTTGCAAAAAGAAACAGAATAATTTCAGTATTCATGATTCCAAATTCAGTAATCCAAGTGCATTTATTTGATGTCGTTAACTGAGAATTAAATCTACAAGGCATTAAAACACTTTATTTAATAATCTCTTAAATCTGTGACTATATGCACCCTCCTTGACATATTGATCTGGTTTTATTGTAACTATATCCTCCAGTTTTCAAATGTGTAACAACCCATTAAATATTCCACACATAATAGTGGTCTGCAGTGACATCCAAATGTTCTAGGTTACAGGATATGGTGTCTTGACAGCTACTTATGAATTTGACCTCTGTGTTAGTTCTGCTGTATGTCTTGAATGTCAAGACACCCCTGAATTGCATAATTGGTCAAACCAAGATGTAGTTCCAAATGTAAATGCAACAAGCAATTCTTCTGATAGTGACAAATTTATCTTTGATAAAAAAAACAATTCCGTGGTTATACAAATATTATTTACCATT